GGGGGGGGGGCGGCACCCGCCGCTGGTCTCGGCCGTTTCTGTTTCCGGAACTTCAGCTTGATCCGGTTTGCCAAAATCGCTCGGCTCCAGATTGTCCTTCCACGTGCAGCGACGGCGAGAGCGCGATCGGCCGCTTCTCGGACTGCCTTTCCCCGAGTCGTCGCCGTCGGAGTTACAGCAGTGGCGGAGGAGGAGTTGAGACGGACATGTCGCACCGCCTGGAACAGTTTCGCAGAGTAGATCCGCTGTTGCTTCTCCGATCTCCATCTCGCGTGGCTTTCACCGTCTCCGGCGGCGGACACTGCTACCGCGCTTCTCCGAGACTCCGTCGTAGACGGTTTCTTCTTCTTCTTCCTTGAGTGATCTGTAGAGCTAAGGTTTGAATTTCTCGACCGTTCGTGATTCGAGACCAGAGACGCCATTGGTAGCTGAATTCAGATCTCTCTAGTATTCGTTTACGAACCTCGATTCCAATCTCTGGAGATGATCAGACGAAGAAACAGATTAATTTCGAAGAAATATTCAAATTCAAGCACAAGCTTTTGAGAGAGAGATTCACCAAAAAAAAAACTATAGAGAGAGAGAGAGATTACAGAGAATGCTAACAAGAGAGGGAATATAAAGAGAGAGGAAGAAAGCGCACGCGGCAGTAGCAAAGCGCCCCGTTTTGGACACTGTTATATATTTACATGTTTTCGTCCTATAATAATAACATAATGGATTTTTTTATTATTTTATAAAAAGGAAGATAATTAATTAAGCAAATTAATTGGTTATATATACATCATAGAAGACAACATAACGACTCCGGCCAATCATATATTAAAATTTTCGTGGCCCAACTTGATTAGTTTACGATAAAAGAACCTATAATATTGTCTGTAACAATAAATTGATAATGTGTGTGCATTGGTTTTAATAATATAAAAGCCGTTGCACCATGCAAGGATGATTATTTTGTTTTGCATCTTGTTTTGCTTTTTTAATTATGTATGATGGAATCTACGTTTTGGTTCGTTTATAAAATTGAAGCGAATAAAAAATCGTATTTAAATCGAATTTAATATAAAAATTAATTATTTATATTTTTTTATAAAATTTAATTAATAAAAATTAAAAATAGAATAGAAAATACTTTATTAAAAATTAACATTTTTTTAACGAAAACTAAATTTTGAAACCGAATAAATTATAAAAATATGGAATTCAGCATAATATATATATATATACTTTTGTAAAACTAAAAAAAACTCTGGTTTATTTAAAATGTTTTTGGATTTCGTATTTTTGCTTCCGCATTATTATTATTTTATTACTATTTGTCCATGTGGCACAGTCCGTATACTGTACACGGGTTAC